CTGGTGTGTTCAGTACTTGTAACTTCTTTGAAGCAGAGAACAGTGTTTGCCAGCTTGCCAGTTCTGCTGTGCGTCTCCACAATGAGGAAGCTTGCTCAGAGCTCCACACACCAAGGAAATAGGAAGTATGATACAAGGTTGGTCACAAGGAGACAGCAGAAACCACAGGGACCATCATCTATGCTAACTTTCCGAAGGTGGTCTCAACCCACGGCTCACTGTGATAAACGACACAGTACTGTGAAACAAGCTGTCTCCCTGCGCAGCATACATGTCCTTCCCCGGTCTCAACTAGCTAAGAAGAAATTCCAGCTCTCACTAACAGCTTGCCCTGCTAACAGTGTGGACAGGGCTCTCCTGCTTTTTCACACTTTGGAGATGTGTCCTGCAGTCAGGAGCAGTAGGACTGCCACACAGGCTCAGCAACAGCCTCAGCATGAGAGGAACCCCACCAACTCCAGCAGAAGCAGAGCAGCAGGACACAGACAGCGAGATGCAATGCTGTAAAGCCCCAGGACAAGTCCTATCGCAAGGGCATTTGGCAAGTACCTTTGTTGCATTTGGCACTGGATCAGAAATTTAAACCCTGCTAGTACTTTAAAGAGAACACCTCTCTCCTCGCCTCACCACCCCATTTCTTTAAGTTATTCTTTCTTATCCTGTCAGAATAGATGCCAGAACTGGAAACACTCACTTTGCAGGGAGGATGGAGCAGGGAAAAGTATTACTTTATGCTTGTTTCGTTCTTTGACTCTCTTGAAGCTTCTCTGGCAACTGCCAGAGACAGGAGCCCAGGCTTGTTCAACCTTTCATCTGAGTCAGTATAGCAAGTCTTTACCTTCACTTTCCAGCTGGCATGAAAGGGGAAAAAAAGCATTTGTACTCTGCTGCAGTCACCATCACAAAAATCCTGCTGTTGTCAGTGAGAGCCAGTAAGAATACCGGGAAAGGCTGAAACCACTGCAGCGGGGAATATTTGTGAAGACCTATTTGGGGCACATCCTGCATTCCTCAAGTGCCTGCAGGAGCGGCTGTGACTAGCAGGGGCAAGATGACTGTACATCCTGGCTCTCCCTACCTAGATGTTCACACATGCACCAAGTATCTCTTGCTTATTGGTATTTTACAAAAGATAGCCTTTTAAGCAAATTACTTCCTTGTAGGGAAAGAGACTGGCAAGCTGCCTATGGGTAATGTACAATCTAAATCTATTAATCAAACAAAACCACCGGCCGTATATCTACCTAATCTTTCAATAGCACTTATTTCTTAGTCTCTCCCGTGTTTACATTTAGGGAGGAAAAATGCAGCAGTCAAAAAAGTCTGAGTTGATGAGGAATAAAAAACAGTCATTAAGCAGCCTATTTGGAGATGCATAGAAACTTCATAATGTAGGAGGACTGTGTCTGAAAGCAGGAAAGGCAGACATTTAAGACCACCAGGTGTGCTGGGAAGGGAGGGGATGCAATGCCAAGCTGGCATACTTGGCCAGTAATGGAAACTACACACCAGTGGATTTCACGTGGGTGTTGGTGAAGGTGCATAGTGATGCATGGGTAAGCAACAGCAGGCTGCGGGAAGAAATGGCCAACAACTCAGGCCGGACAAGCTGCGAGAGAGCAAGGAGATGTTTTAGGTAGTTTGGAAGTGCTTGGTTATGCGTGTGCTAACAGCCACCAGCCTGAGCTGGACCCGTCAGAGCACACACACAGAAGAAAATAGGAAACAGTAAGACACCCAAAAACTTAACGGGTCAAATGGCAGCAGGGTGCCACAGGCTACCTTTGTGTTGTAACTGAGAGCTGTAAGAGAGACTGGCCTTCCTTACCTTCCCAGTCAGGATGGCTTAAGCTGCCCTGCCTTTCTCTCCATTTACTTAGTTAAATAAAGCCAACGACAACTGTTCGAAGCATAAGCAGGGCTGGCCCTGCCAGGGCTCTCCTCAGCCCCATGCTGGGCAGTGTCTGCACTGGCGCACAGCTGTGCCCCGCAGGGCTAAGGCAGCAGGTCCCTTCAATTCCCCTGTCCTCCATCCCTTTGTTAAGGCAGGCTACCACCCCTCTCTAAAATTTCTGGGAAACATTTCCTCATGTGAAGCCTCACAACAAGGTTTCCATAAAACAAATGGCTGTTATCAAATTACTGGAGTTCAGAGCATCAACATGAAGGACTAGGTCCTGAGCTGGTTTAACTCTGTCACTCTGGCTCGTGGACAGGCATGGTTTGGAAGAGGTGCCTACGAAACACGCACCTGCCTGATGAAAAGTCCTCAGTTGTCCCTGACCAGTGTAATGGCACACCAGCAACTGCAATGGTGTTCATTCAAAAGTGTAATTACAAAGCAATTGGAAGACATTATCGGAATCTTCTTAGTAGAAAACAGCCTCCTCCGATCTCAAAGAGCTTGACAGGCTCCTCTGACAACATAGAGATTAATCATGAATGTAGTTCAGCACATCAGGGCTAAAATTTAATTTCAAGAACCACTGTAAAGAGAATAATTCATTTCACATTTGTCTTATACCGCTAGTAATTCATTCTTCCAAGAGTGCTTCGTCAAATCCCAGGACAATTACTAGAGGCTACTGTGTAAATATAGTAACAAGCAGCAACAGTTAATATGAACTCAAATCTGAAGGCACAAAACAGGCATTTATCCATAAACAAGAAATTGCTCCCGTGACCTCTTTACAAAACCGTACCACCTCCTGTGGTTTCTCCTACCAGACACAGGGCGGGGTTGACTTTATTTGTCAGTTCTCTTTCCTTCCCAGGAACTCAAGGTTTGTTTTTAAACCAAATATGGAATGATGTTTTTAAGTTCATGACACTCGGTAAGTCCTCTGTTTCTCCACAGGAAGGATGCAGCAACAGAACTGGTCCTGCACGGTGATGACCTGCCTGTCTGTAAGCGGTGAGGGCCGTTCAGCTGCCTGTGGATCCTGGGTATGTGTCTGAGACTATCAGTCAGGGTGCTAACATTAGTGGTAGGGCTTGACTTTTGTGATGTGGTTCTTTGCCAGCTAAAGGCCAGGCTAGGATCACCAATCCATTTACCACAGACCATTCGTTATCAAAAGAAAGCAACAGATTTAGGTAACTACTAAGCTAAGCCGCATATAAACTATTAGCCCAAGAAGCAAAAGTGCTAATTCCTGAGCCAGCACATACAACTACATGCTATTTTCCAGCATCTCTGACCACCAGCCCAGTCCACCCTTCACACGTCTTCTCAGAGGGAACATCCTTCCCTGCCACACTGGCATAGACAGGGGCTCAGTCACACCAGTATCACTATCTGCCTGTCCTACATCCAGCAAAAGCCCCTCACAGGAGAGTATAGGAGAACTCTAGGATTTTATTAGTAAGCAAATAACCAACCAGAAGTGGGCTTTTTCTTTTCACTGTACTAGATGTTATTAAAGACTACCAGTTCCTTTCACACTGTTTGTTCTACCATGGAGCCTCCTCACAACTCTGGGACCTTTCCCCACAGATAAATCCACGTAAGGTATTAGTACCTGCACAGCACTGCAGGGCAATCTCACAACTGCTCTTAGGCTACATCCATGCTTCTTTAGATAAGTAACAAGATTCCTTATGCTTAGAAGTGGGGGTTAAGAGGCCCTTGAAAAATGAAGCCTATAACATATTAATCAGAGCAAATTTAACATAATAAAAGCTTGTGGTCAAAATCCCCCTGTGCGTTTTTACTGCAGATTCAAAGCAAAGGAGGAATCCGGTCAGATTTGTATTGCCGCTTCCTGGCTATATAAATAGCTGCAACTAGCATGCTAAAAATAAACCAGATAAATATTTAAGGCCCACTGCTACTTACTGTTGTGCGTACTTACTTACTGCTTGATGTTGTGTAAATCAGGAATAATACCAATGAGATAAATGAATTTACACCAGAATACTTTGCTGAAGTCAGAGGGAGGGGACTGCGTTTCCAGCAATTGCAGACAAGTCCTCCCATGAACACTTCACCATCGGCTACTGAGCTTTCCTTTCTCCTGACCTACAGGTCCCTCCGATGGCAAATAGAAAAATGAGCATAGGGTTAAATGCCACAAAAGCTGCATAAATTGGAAGCCATGCAAGAAGAAAAAAAGCCACTTTACTCAGAGGGGTTTATCTAAAAACATTCAGATTGCACCCGCCTCAGACACGCCTGACCCCCACCAGTGATGTAATGGGAAAACATGTGTTAGGGCATATAGATTTTCAAAAGCATGGGCAGCTAGAAGAAGCGTCTTGCACTTAGATTAATTAGGGAAAGGTTTCAGAAAAAAAGAGCATGATGAAAAAATATGGTCCTTTTGCATAATCCATAAAATAGGACACAGGTAACCTCTAAAAAAAATTTTCTCTTGTTCATTTTTAAGCTTTGCCTGAACAAGGACTGCAAAAGATATCTACTACCTAGAGCAGTTTAGAAGAGAGAAATATTCCTAGTAGAGCAGTATCTATACATGTCAAATAAAATAGCGATTACCATAAAACTACTGGAAAAATAAGTAGCTATACTTTTCTTTTGTAGATCAATTTTCTACCCCAAAAATAACCGAGTATTTTGCCCGTGAAATACTTCAGACTAATGCACTCCTGAAAAAACAGCTGGAGATGAACAAAATAATCTCAAATGGCTCTTCTGTCTAATTTTAATTCTAAGAGACCATTTTGCATCAAATAAAAAGACAACATAATGGACCTGATAATAAATCACATTATTTTCAAGGGCATTTATGGAACACGAATTATTTGTATTACTGGAATAAACATTCAACAGAATCCACCAAAACATGTGAAACTATTTAAAGGGAAATAGAGTAGTTCTCCATCCTGAATAAACCAAGGCAAAAAAAAAACCCCAAAAACCTGTGCTTAAGTACATGTATGTATTGTGTTATTCTGATTACACAGGAAAACTCAAGACACAAAGGCTGCCTGTTTTGCTATTTTTTTCTTGCTTTTCCAGGAAACCAAATATTAAGTACCTGGCTTACAAACCTCCTCCAGCAGTTGATCCCACTTCCTTTGACGTTCACCTCCTACGAATGACACAATCCAACACCCACGTATCAGCTCTAAGAAAGCAAGAATGCCACAGCTTCAACAAACCCTCATCCACTTGAGGCCAGCCAAAGAAAGATAAAATTCCCTGTAACTCTGCAAACAAATTATACCCACTGCTGACATAAGGAGAGGGAAGGGAGAGCAAAGGGGGGGAAAAAAACCCTTTTAAATATGAGGAAGCATCCTTAGTCATCCAGAACACATGTTGAGATTTTAACAGCACACCTGGAACCAGAAGCTTATATTAGCTCTGGTTAGAAAGTACACAACAGGCTTCAACCAGGTAATGAGCATCATCTTGTGGGGTAGAACTGGGATGCCCGTTGCCTTGTCCCCAGTTTGGGTGTGCAGGTACTGCAGGGGAGAGGGACTGTGTCCAACAGCACTAGGGCCCAAGGTAGGCGAGGCTCTGAGGAGCACAGAGGACCTCCCCATCAGTGCCTCACACAGCTGTAGCCTACCTCTACGGCTGCACAGGCCAAAAAAATCCTCAGCAGTGAGCAGCTGAGATCTTTGTGGAAGAAAAAGGATTCAGCAGCACAAAGAGGATTTGGTATCACATCTACACTACGGTCAGCTTTTAAGCAGCTAGACAAGGGCATTGAGGATGGTATTAAGGAGCAGCATCTCAGGGGCCAGAGCATATTGGGTGGCATAACCCGAAGCTCCAAAAGCCTGTGACGAAAGAGCATGCCAGGGACGAGGCTCCATGTCGCTCACCTGCCACCCTCCCAATTACTAAAGCAGCAATTTGTGGGGAGCACGGAGTTTGAGAGCCCCGCGTGCTGCATCCCGGGAATGTGACCTGTTCGCAGTACCACCAGCATCGCTGCCTGCCACAGCCAGGTCTTCCCCTTAGCTCTCTCAGCCAAAAGCTTGTCTCGTTCAACTCTTCCCCAGTTTACGAGACCTGGGGAGGGCCTGGAAGAGCTGAGCTCTACCTGTAAACGATCTCCCCCTTCTCCCTTGTTTCAAATTGTATTTGTGAGTAAACAGTTAAAAGTACCGCCTTTAAGCTCAGAACCCAAGCTTTTGCCTAAGCAACACCACAATTTAGGAAGTCAAACAAACAAATGGGAAGCAAGGAAAACACTGCATAATTATTCAGAGCCACCCTGGAAGGAGGGCTGTAGCAAAAGTACTGAGTCTCTTTTATTAAGGATTTCTTACTGCAGTAGAACACTACCTAATAGCTGCTGTATCCTGCTTGAGCGAGTACATTCTCCTTGGAAATCAAGCACAGGTTTCTAATCGTTTTTGACAGAGTGCGGTCCCCTAAAGCTACATTTTCTGTCTGATTCATGCTGACTGACTGTAACCCTACGACAGTTATTGAAAGTTAATTAGCAGTGAAGTGCAAAGAGCTCTAGGAACAAAAATACAAGTGAAAACCGAATGTGGAGTGTCTCCTTTCCCAGGAAAAATACTGTCAAGAAGGTTAACACAACAGAAAAAATACTGCAAATTGAAAAGTGTGAAAGGGATTTCTCTAATAACTTGGCTATGATTGTCCCTTGTTGTTTAAACACACAACTGAGAGGTTACATATTTCTAAGGGTTATTAGGGAGGCAGGTAATTATAAAATGCAGCATTTATTTCTTCACCACATTTGCTAGAGAAAGAGCCCGAAAAGTTATATAAAGACAACACCCAAATTACATAAAGACAAATAAAGATATACATCAATCGCTGCTTCCTTTGGAGACTGAAGTTTGTCAGATGTTGCACACGCTATCAAATCCCAACTATTTTTGCCCTTGTTCTCCACTTCCTCAGTACTTGCAAGGAATAATCCACAGTTACATGCAAACCCAGCCAGCGCCGAGCGGGTGTAGGAGGTGAGGCGAGGAGAGCCGCAGCCCCGCACCACCCACTCCCCACAGATGTAAGCGCTGAGACAAGGTGCGAGGCAGTGGGCAGACCCCTTCAGGTGTTAAAAAAGCCCATCCTGGCACCTCCAGGAATTGGATCCAGCTCTAAACAATCAAAAATAAAACCAAAACCATGCAACCTTCATGCAGAGAAACGGCATCATCTTATAGTAGCAAAGCAAGTAGGTTGGAAAGGCCAAATGTAGGGCTTTATAAAAATAGGCATCGGTGATGCCAGAATGCCTTGTCAAAATTGTGTTTATTGATTTTCATAGAATAGGAAAAAAACTCTAGCCCTTTCCACCCCTGACTGCTGACTGTGACTCACAAGCAATCTAAAATGACTGTGATGAGCAAGCAGGGACAGGGCTGAGTTGGACCTAGCTCATGTCTTCACAACGCTGACGGGGGAACTGTGCGTCCCGCTCCAGGCTCTTCTTGTGGCTGCCCAGGAAACACAGAAACGCGCTGGACGTTCACCTCCATCAAAGCAGCTAATCAGACCTCACTGAGGGAATTCCTCTGGGTGGGCAGAGGGTCTGACGAACGCGTGTTGCTCACGGGCTGAGTTGGCTGCCAGCATGCAGGTGACCTGGCATGGCCTTTCCCTGGGCTGGGTGGGGACCGGGGTCTCAGGAACAGGGTGCGTGTGGAGGCAAGTATAAACTCTCCTGTTCAGCTGGGGTGGCTGCCTTGGTTGAGGTTTGGAAGTGTCGCAAGCTGTTGATGTGAGCCTTTGGGACCAACTTATACCTTCACCAGTACATCTACCTCGACCAGTGCAGTCAGCGTTTCGGTCAGCCAGGCAGAGACGGCACCCCAATCCAAGGCAGCACTCCTGGTGCGCTGTTAGATTCTTATGATTTTTGCCTTTCAAAGCGCACACCCTTAACTCCTCGGAAGCTCTCAACACCAGTAAGGGAAGGCAAGCCCGACGTCCCCCACCAGAAGCGGCGCCGAGGGGCCGAACGGGCCGCTGTCCGAGGCCGCCG